AGAAAACACTGTCAACATTTTCTGTTTCTATCCTCACAGTGAGTACGGAACTCAAGAAAATGATACCAACGCTTCCAAATGAGTATAATGGCAAAGTCTATTTTTTGCTATGGAAAACCCCAAATATCGGAGGAGTTGCGGATAAGAGATGGGTACCCCCAATATTAGAGAAAGAATGGCAGTGTTCATGTTTTGCTATGGGCAACCCCAAATATATGTCTGATTCAACTGAAAAATAGGAGGTGTACAATGGCACTAAGATTCTGTGAAGGTCTCAGTAAATTTTATTAAGTGGTAATGGAAATTTAAATGCCGGCCGGTTATATTTCTCAACTTTGGAATGACTAGAAAATGAGGTCATCCGTGGGCTTCTTCATTGCAGCAAGTTCGGTATCTACATTTAACCACCATGGCGCATAGGTTCCAATCTACTGTACAACTCAATCTTGACTTCAGAGTGGCAACTGGAAAATGAGATTGCAGAGTAATGATAGTTGGATCAGAGACATACACGATGAACTTAATAAACTGGGACTTGGCTATGCATTTAATGCAGATTTCAATGTTAATACTTATATGTTAGTAAAATAAAGATTTCTTGAGGTGGATAACCATACAATGCTTTTTAATATCCGTAACAATGCTCAAAGTCCGTTAAACCAACATATATTAGGGGATGATATTAGGGATGTCAATTTTGTCAATAATTCATATTCGAATATTCAATGAAAGTATTCGAATATATTCGAATATTTGATAAAATAAATATAAAGTCTGGTTTATCTTAAATGTACATCATCATACTCTCATGGCAGGTTTTGCGTAAGTATTTGGAAGTAAAATTGAATGTAGACTTTGTCGGTATACAATAAGGAATTCTACATTTGATATTTGTCAATGTTTAAAATAAATGATTGTAAGTGTATACAACCGAAATATAATTTTAACTAATGATATCTAAACAAGCTCAAACTGGCGAACCAGTCGTTTAACCAGGGGCAAGATTGTCGTTTAATCATCAGATTTAAATTTACGTAATTAATTACAATTATCTGCTTAATAAGAGATATAATCTTTGATACAATGTTTTGAAAATATAAACGAACACTTCCATAGACAATTTTCCTACGTCATTTATTTCCCGATAATGATTTTAAAATTAATATTCAACCCGAGATAATCAAGTAATTGATGTATTATTCTGAAATTGAGCCATTTACAATATTACAGGCTGATTCTATAGAAGATGTAATTCAATGATCAATAAAATGTATTTTCATAAGTACACTCTTCACGTCTTTTACAAATTTAAGAAGGTTTTCATTTCGCTGTCCTTGACTCAATCATATCAAGCTATTGAAAATACTTTTTTGTATTATACATTAATAATTCTTGTTTATTTGTTTTATACTTTACTCAAAATGAAATAATTTAGAAGATCTTTAAGATAAGAAAGTAGCGAAAGAAATCAGGGGTTCGCTAGTAAATAAAACGGTGATAATTCCAGCACTGTTCTAATTAAAATTTATTACCTTTAGTGAAATCTGAAAAACACCGAATATTCGAATCGTAAATTCTTATTCGAATTATACTCATCGAATGAATATTCGAATGTTCGAATATTCGTTGACATCCCTAGTTGATATATTTAATGTGCAATATTACTTGCGCAAACCTATTAATTATATGTACAAATACAAATAGCTAGAATTAGGCTTTCTACTCATAATCTAAATATTGAAACTTGTAGATATGTTAATGAGATTAGGGAGAATATATTTTGTAAAATGTGTTTCTGATTGACAATATCTATGTAGTTTTTGGAGATCAAGTCTTTCTGCAATCTGTTTGAATTTCCATGGGTACCAATAGTGCTCCCTTGTCAGCAGACCTTTTTTGTATTCATATGAAGCAGAATTTATATTTAAAAAAAAACAAACAAACAAACAAAAAAAAAAAAATCTACATGAGAAGAAAACATTTACTGTGGCCTTCAACTCGACATTTAGATATAACGACGACGTACATGTATTATCGCAAACTCCATACAGGACTACTTTCCCTACGAATGATATGCAGTTGTAGCGTAATAATACTGAGCTGTCTGGAGCTTGGTATTATCGATTAAAAATTATAATTACTTCCATTCATATGTCGACTCGATATATCCCAGTGAGCTTGAAATAAAAGATACCCAGAGTCTGACACAACTGTTTCATATTTGGATATTTTACTTAATTTTTCCATTTAGCAATTAAAGTAACAACAAGCGCTTAAATAATGCAAAAAATGTCCTCTCATTCCTCCCAGTTTAGGTAAGTTTCTTATTTTATTCCATTGAAGATCTTATTTCAATTGTTCTTGTATGGTGCCTGAACACAGGGTTAAATAATTACATTTTTTAATTTTAGAGATTTCAAACCGGGCTCATCGATCGTGGAGCATTGTCACGGATTAAATTTACGTGTAAAAATATAGTACGTACTTATGGTACAACAGAAACATAAAAGAAGGTTTAATGATTTTTTTTAAACAGAATGTGTATGCAAGTATACACAAACTGGTTAATTGATAATTTCCCCTTCTCCTTTTAATTTTCTACCATTCCTCATAAATTGTTCAATTATGAATATTAAACTGAAAGTGATTCATTGTTGTGCTCTCATACACATTATTTTGAGGAATTTTATTGTTTGGAAATTAATTTGCTTCTGTTTTCTTCTGTTTTTATTGCCAGTTAGAACTAAAATGGTTATATAACGGGGTAATACGGACTGAAAATTAATTTGATTGAGAAAATATTTCAATCTGCAGCTCAAAATCACAATAGATTGTTTCATGATAAAGTCATTTACGTAATACGTAATATAAACGGAGGACACTTTTTACTCCAAATTTTTATCCTCTTAGTATGTTGATATTATGGGTATCACGGTTTTATTTGACAGAAAAACAATTTAATCTAATGGTAGATCTTGAGATCATCCTAAAAATGTATGTACGGTTTTGTAATCTCTTATCACCTTATATTGTTCCTCTTCTATTTTGATTGTGTAGGAAATCTGTTAAATAACATTTGAAAATGTTCAATATCATTATTTGTCTTCATAACCTTTTCAATTACATTTTCCCCCTTTTTTCAAGCCCCCCCCCCTTCCAATACTTAATTGCGACATCCACTGGGATTCTCCTTGTGTAATTTTAAAATACACATCATTTAAATAACGACCACTACCGGTTACAATGTGCATACACGTCTTAATATTAGTACAAGACTGATATCTGTCGTTCAGATTTTAAAGAAATATAATGGTAAGGAAGCAGGCAAATGTTTATTTATCATATTACAAATAAAAATTTCCGTTTCACATAAAATATTTGCGCCATGACTAAGAGACACTAGATTCATTAATTTGCACGATTTAAAATTAAAACACATCTTTTCTTGTTTCAATGCGATGACATAGTTTGAAATATAAAATCAAGCACTAGTGGATTATTTTAAATATCCATGTTTTTTTTTTTTCATAAAAGAACATGATTTGGCTACTGCACCCTGTGTATCAAAATTGTTCATTAAAAATATAGCTTTTCCTTTTAACTATGGAAATGTATGTCTAATATTTTGACTTTTTTCAAATAAATAACAGTGCAATTGCTAAAAATTCACAATATTATTAAAAGGTGATATTTATCCTCTACAACATTGTCTACACAATATTTACAAGTTTTATAAAGTCACTGACTTAATTGGCAAATTTCTAGAGATTGTTATTTTTCAAAGGGTAGTTAACCAATGCGTAAATTGGACATGTGTTTGCAAATTTTGAGTTAATTGTACTATTTAAAAGCGAGTTTTTCTCATTCGAATGAAAATTGGGTCTAAATACTCTCAGGTTTCTGTTCCGTTTTTATTGAATACCACTATCATCGCGAGTTCCAACATTGGAAGTGTTCCTTTTAGGAAATACCGATCGGCTTGTTAAAGCTCGGTGTTAGATTTTGTTCTCCGATCCTTGCTCTATAGGACATGAAAATGTTCCACAACGGATTTGTACAATTTTCTACTGACAGTACATTTCTTGACACCTCATGATATAAATTTAAGGTTCATTGATACTCCGATAAGAGAGATAACTCTTTATGAACTAAATGTCTATTATTCCTTTATAAATTTATGAAGTGGAAATGATTCTTTTGTTCAATGTTGCCCTGCAAGCTATGCTATAAGTGTTTCTATTTTACTTATAAAATACATTTCTTTTGGAAAATAATAAGAGTTTAAGCAAAATTTTATACGAGTGAGCAGAGGGTTTATGAACCTTCATTGTAGAGTGCAGCAATGATCTGCTTGCCGACTTGCTGAGTTTTCAGCACACTAAACTGTGTTTCGATCTCCAGTGCAAAATGTAAATAGAGTAACCGTTATTAATATTGCTTGTACAATAATGGATACAAGTTGTCTTACCATCATAATTTCTTATGATCAATATTTTTTTTAGGATGGGGAATACTTTTTTTGCAATTTGTTAAGTACTATTTTGCGTCATAGATTGCAGAACATTGACAAACCGTAAAAAATGATAAGTAATTAAAACTAGTTGATACAGTAATCATGATAATGATCTTATTAGTTTTGCACAAAAAAATACTGAAAATTATACAGTGAAGTTGTTATATACCGTATTTTGTTACAAGCACATCATATGCATATGCATAATTTATGAATTCTGAAAAAAATATTAATTAAAAAAATTAAGAACTGTTCAGAAAATTTTTACAAAGAGAAGTAAGCTAAAACATGATGGTATGTTTAAGTACATGCAACATATAATCTATAAGTAAAATAAGAGGAATTTATAAACTGTATTTCATATAATAAAAAGTAATATAATTTCAAAGCAAACACATATCAGCTATATATTACAAAAGTGATTAAAACTTCTACACATGAACTTTTTCTGAAGCTCTTGTGGAGCTGTTTGCGAGAAGAATACAATCTAAATTTTAGTAATTATTGTATTTTCTCTTTCAAATTTTTCCTTCTTGCCAGCAAACCGAGAGGAACTACCTCCAGTATTACTCAGAAAAGATTTATTAGTGCTCGTCCCTGCAATATCTGATGCTTTGTCTAAAAATTTATTTTTTAACATGCCCAGAACTTTCCAATTACATACATATGAAATGAATAAGAATACTCCCTGGGAACCATTTACAATTGTTGCCAAAAATGAAAATAGTGAAATTTCGAAAAAGCCATCAAGAATTACCAAAAGCCAGGTTATTCCAGTCAACAAGAACAATTTAAAGAAGATGGAAAATTCATGTCTGTCTTTTGAACTCTTTAATTTTGGTGTTTTGCGAATGCAGTGAAAGGTGATCGAGAACATGATGACGTTAAAGATAATTTGGAGAATCACTGGGAGAATAAACAACACAAGTAAGGCTAGAGGACTGGCTAGAAAACATTTGCTTCCTCCATACCCGAACCTAAAAGATTGCACTGCTGAGAAACCAAAGATAAGGTTGATGGCAACGAGAAGGATAGGTGAAAAAAAGGCAACACAACAATATTTACAGAATAATTTTCTTTCAGCTGATTCATTGCCGTGTAGCAAAGAATTAGTGACAAATAATTTAAACATATGAAAACTAGAAATATTGGTACACGTGAAAACTGAAACCCAGAAATAATGTGTTAGCCCACCTACCCAACTACACCAAAAATTGTCTTTAACATGAGATTGTACCAGGAATAACAGTTGAGCAAAGAAAAGAGAGAAAATAAAGCACATGATGATTTTACCTGGTAGAGTCCTTAAAATCGGCAAAGAGCAGTATGTAAAGATCGTTAGAATCAAAGATGTCAGTGAGACAACTGTACATATGTATGTCAAAACATTCAAAATGCTTTGCATGACTGATTCAGAGGTCTGTCGATCAAGTTTGTAAGAATCTGAGCAAATTCGAATGCTTCCATTGTTACTTTTTATGTATTCGTTAATCTCAAATTGTTTCTTAATTGCTGGTATAAAAATATGGATTTCATTTCTCGAAAAATAAAACTCATCTCTTTCTATTTGTATTTGTGTACATGTCAATAAATCGTTGACATCAAATGCATATTTGTTTTCGTAGGTTGGTGTTGAAGATTTTTTAAGACAGTTTCTGGATGTTTTTCTCTTGTACAAAATAGGGATATACCACGCTTGAACACTCTCTTGAAACGTCAGGAAGACCTCTTCAAAATTAATTGTAAGTTGTGGAAAATTCATAACATGTTCTTCTAAAGCTGTTCGATTTAATGAATCTGAAAACGACGAAGTGATGCGCATCTGAAGATAAATAAGAGCTTCTTCTTCAATCGTCAGGTTTTTATTCAAGGATCTCAGTTCGCTGCAATGTTTGTTTGAATAAAAATAATAATCACTTAATTGAGTATACCCCTCGGTTATTTCATGTTGAATAAATCTCTCGAGATTTTCCAGGATTGAGTAAATATTGCTATCACTGGAATTGGAAAATATGAGGATTTTATAGGCCATGGTATAACTCACGGACTGAATTTCTGTAATAAAGAATTGGCACGAAGAATCCTGTAAATGTTTTCCAGGTGAACAGTGCAATTTTCTGCATGTTTTCTGCAAAAGACGAAATGGTTAATACAATTAACATTTAAAATCAAATGTCATTATATCTCACAGCTTAAAAATCAAAACTTTAATTGTTCATTGTACAAAAAAAGGTTAGAAATATTCAAAGATTAAATTCTAATTCTGTTTGCAAAAAAGTTTTTAATTTCTCTGAATTTAGGACAGTCCAAATAGAGAGCTATGGTTGTTAACTAGCATCATTTAATTGTGCATGTTAGTGTTTCAGTCACATAGAACATGCCATTTTAAAATGAAACGGATGACTTGTAAATTTCTTCGTTTAAATAACATTCTATAAATTGTAGAACATTCATCAAAACTCTAATTTTAAATAATATGCTGTATAACTGTATAAAGTCGAATGCTTTTGATGTAGAAGACAATTGTTTTTCTTTCACATGAAATATATGGAGATAACGAACAGTATTCAAGCTCAAAAGTCCATTAAACTCATAAAAGTCCATATAATATGATAAAATGGTTTTACCGTAAAAACGTCCAAAAATTCTGATTCTTTGCATTTGGTAGATGTCTGTTCAATCCTCTCTTCTGTGTCTATGATAGAAAATAAATTCCGATAGGACGGTAAGTCATATGTAGGATAAAGCCCATTGCCACCTCCGTCAATTGGATTACAACTCTTACAGAAAATATTCTTGTGCGGATAATAATCTATATTCAATTCTCCATATTCGCAAGGTATCCGTAAATAATCGAACTCAGGGTTAGTACATACTCCTAATGGTTCTTCAAAGACCTCAGTGTTGCATATGTCACATATTTGGTTCTTGTAAATGTAGTTACGGGATTTTGCCATAATACTCATTAATGGATCTTCACACATTGTTAAAACATCTTGACTGACTGATTTCACCATTCCGGTGATGTTACACTTCTGTATTATTGAAAAGTTATTTAAATCGCAAGTTTCTAATTGAAATGTTGTGGTGAAATGAATAAAACATTTGTTTTCTTCAGCAGATTTCATTAAAATGTCAATGGATGGTATAAACATAGGGTATAGCGTACGCGGACAAACAATAGTGATGTTCCAGGTTTTTATCTCTGTTGAGGTATTCTTAAAAATATCGTCCTGATTGTTACAAAGGTAACAGTAATGATTCCTATATGCTTCCTTTGTCTTCACATTGATAACAGGAACATTCAATAACTCATAATCTGACGATTTTTCGCAATTATGTTTCACAAAAATGTCAGTGTATTGCTTAGGGCATTTGCTTATGACAAAGTATGCATGTTTGGGTTCTGGGTCATCATTTTTGCCCACAAATGGTAGAAAACATGCCATTTTATGATAATACGCCGCGTCAGGACAACAGGAGGCAGACTTATAACAATCCTGGTCACAGGAACAGTTTCTTCTGCTTCTGAAACCAGGATATATATTTTGGACTTGATGTTCTTCCTGGCACCAATCTTGATACCCACCAGACCTGACATATTCCGTATACACAGAAGTCAAATTCACAAGATTCTCCGATAATATTTCAGAATTACTTGTATAGTTTTTGTCCTTTAGAATTTGTTTTACATTTTCCGAAACATCCAAGGACAGCAGTGTTAATTTTGCCTTATAATGTTCATCATATTTATTCCATTCTTCTAAAATCGTTATATCTTTATCGAAAAGTCCTTGTTTGGTTATGTTTCCAATTAAAATGGTGTATTGCGTTCTTAAGAATTGTCTCTGGTCGATGCCTGTATTACAAAAGAAGCAGAAAACATTTTGAAACACACCATACTGGTTCCAATAATTTTTACATGCAGATTCCACGTCCTCGTCATAGACATCCCATTCACCGGTGACATTACAGTCCGCAATGAGAAACTGTTTTTCACACGGAGTTGGGTAACTTCCTTGTTGAGGAAAATATTCTAAGAAACAGTCATATTTTTTCATACCTGCCCATAATCCATCGACATCAGAATAAATGTTTATATCAAAATCTTTGTCAAAACAGGTTACAGAGGACGACCATGCAATAACATCTCTCTCTCCATGACACTTGGAGCATTTAGCATTCACATAAGTGATGTTGGTTTTCCGTGAGACAACAGGTGCTAGATGATGAAAATTGCTCCGATCCAAGACCATGAGGCAGTCATCTTCCAGATTACCGTTTTGTTGAGGGCACGCAGAAACCATCATGAATTTGTTTGATTCCATATAACTGTATTCATTCACAAAATACATTGGTTTAATGCAAGTACTTAGAGATATATCTGGGCAACATCGACCCTTCACTTCACAGTCGTGGGTACATAGACACACAGGACAATTCATTGAATCTCTAGAACTACTTTCATGAGTGGAGGCATTTGGTTTGTTCATTCCAGAGCAAAGAAAACTACTGCCACAATTATCTATGTATTTCAAGTTCAGACTCGTCTCATTCTTCACGTGGAAAACCCAAGACATGGCTTGGATTGGCAAACATAGAAAAATCATCAAAAATTGATAATTTTTCATTTTAATAACTACCCTGTAATAATTAAAAGGAATTACATTTTATTTGCTAATTAATGTGAACACTTTACAAAAAGAATATTTACGTATATATCACAGGTGCTTGAGGACAAGACACCCCCCCCCCCCCGGATATAGACCCACGGGTCGTTTCAACTTTTTTCTCATAAATTATGTCAATGTCATATTTGTGATTTAATCCAAAATCCAAACCATCAATTCGAAACATTACCTAAAACAAATATTTTATGAAAAATTCTCTCTCTGATATATATATATATATATATATATATATATATATATATATATATATATATATATATATATATATATATATACAGGGTGTTTCAGAAAACATGTCCCGACTTTGCGGATTCAAAATCAAGTTACACAGTATTAATGTAAGAAAATTTTTGCAAAAATGAAAACCACATAAACTAAACAATTTTATTAATATGAAATTTGAAGTAATGCTGAATCAATTATTTTTTAAGACAGGTATTTTTAAAGTTTGAACATCAGCAGCAGTTTTCAATTTAACGTCATTTTTTATGTGCAATGTTTTTAAAGTCAGCATCCTCATTTTGTCTTTGAAGTCCTGTATGGTATACATTTTGACATCATTTGAAAAGTCTGCTCCTTAGAAAGATGGTTTTCATGAGTACTTTTTTTTCAAAATTTTATACTAAAATTGGTGATTTTGGAGATTTTCTGTTTGTATTGTTTAGTTTAAAAACAAATATAGATCCATTTTTGGAGAAAAAACCTGACTATCTGATTTTTGAAGATGTAATCAAAACTTCAATGGAAAAAAATAAAATGACGTTATTTTATATTGTTTATATCACAATTATGTTGCCGGAAAATGTTTTGTAAAATACAGATATAATTTTGTAAATATTTTATTATTGTGCAAAAATATAGACATCGAAAGTCGGGACATGTTTGTTGAAACACCCTGTATATATCATAGTAAAACTATATGAAAAATAAAAGTTACTAACCTGTAGCCCATTTTACTGCAAAACAAAAAGATCAGGTGATTACATTCTTATTTATCCCCCCTCTCTCTCTCTTAATGATTTCTGAATGTTTTATTTGCAAAATGACTGGCTGATGAAAATGTATTCCCTAGACCAATCCAATTTATTACTCTTACAATTATAATGACTATCGTGTCTGTAATAAAAACAAATTATCAAACGTTTTATTTAGTTCGTAATAATTTCCGAGACTTGTGTGTTTGAGGAAGGGAAAAGGTGCGGGGATTTGTTTTTTGAGATCTCTCAATTTTTTGAAAACAGTAGAAAAGGTTAAAACCTCCAAAATATATAGACACATATATTGTATAAACACATTAGAACCCACAGCATAAAAAGAGAAATGAATCTCAAATTGTATTTCATATGCGTTTCATAAAGTGTGCGATGAAATATGGAGATAACAAAGAGTAATCAAACTCAAAAGTCCATTGAAACAATACATATAGAGAGCAGATCAAACACGAACCTCTAAAAACATCTTAAGTTGGTTCAGGTGCCATGGAGGATTAAGCATCCCCTGTCGACTGGTCACATCCACCGTGTGCTCCTTGTCGTGATAGGACAAACGATTCCATCCCATTAAATATTTTGATGGTTTTACATTCGCAATTAACTAGGTTGGATTCTGATATTTAAAGACTTGAAATTTTTTGTCAAGTTTGTTTTAGTATCTACACATATAGCTTAATTAAAAATCAAAGTAAATATAGGGGTCAAATATGCTTTTTTGGCGCTAAGGTACATTTAATATGACCTTTTTGCACTGATATTGTGTCTTAATTATAAATCTTATCTTCGAGTTTTCCCTCCAATATTTATTATCCAAATAAATCATGGGACAAAAATATATTATTATTCTATCTTTGAAAAGACATATTAAAATTGTGACAAAGAAAAAGTTTCAAATGGCTTCGCATAATCAATTATTTGACCTTTCTGCACACAAAAAATGTCATTTTTCTGGCATTAAAAATTTAACAAGCAAGAAAATTATTTTAAAGTCTTAAAGGGGCTTGGATTTGAAGCTCATATTTTTTGAAATTTTCTAAATAATATCCTGACTTATGTGTTGCCAGAGCATTTCACACCGAAATATATAAAAGCGTGTTAAGAAAATTCCTTTATCTGGAATTTATTTAAACTTCGATTTTCGGGACGAGTTTGATTGACACATATCCTTGCACTTTCACAAAATAAACTTTTTCAATAATACCTAAGAAAACAATGATAAACTCTGTCCAGGCACCTTTAAACTTTTGCTGTATTAAAGCAGATTGATCAAAGCTATCTAGACTAATATATTTAGAAAAGAAAATCAAAAGTGGGGGTCTATGATGTAAATTTTAAGATATTACTAAAAAAGTGTTAATTTTATTTTAAAATTTGGCTCAATTTATTCCTGGACTTTCAGGATATATTTACTATATTTCCCAATATGATGAAAGAATTCATAAAAATTAATTTAATAGATATTTCAGAACCAGCAAAAAACATTTCACTGCACAAAATAGGTCTATGTGCAACCAGCATGGAATTTTTTTCTAATTGGAAATAGAATTTATCAGGGGAAAAAAAATTTCGACACGCTATGGAAAGATCAATTCATTACCCCAACTAACAAGAAATTGTTCTTTACTGAATTTTCTTTATATATGCATCTTATGTACTTAAAAGGGTTAGACAATTTCAAAATGTTTTTTCTAATTATTTCAAAATTTGAATTTATGCGAACATTTTCTTTGTGCTATGCCTGTATCTCTTCGGTATACGATAATAATGCTTTAAGTTGTTCATTCTGAAAAAAATAAATATTTCAATTTATCACAATTTCATATTTCCTACATGCATTATAACAGTATCTTAGATTCCTTTCCGATTGATTTATGTCATGCAGACACTTTGACCCATTTATAATCGAGGCAGATTCAAAGAAAAATCGTTCTACAAGAATGATAGTGAACAGAGAGTACTAGTATTATCCTTTCAACTTGGCATTTTTGTGCATTCTTGTATATTTGTCGATATGCATATCCCTGCTACAATCATATGTCAGGTTAATATACATATGTACAGGCTCATCTAACTTTTTTCATCAATCAGTTGACTTCTTGAAACAAATCTGTCAAATAAGGGAGCCTAAAACCATATCAATTAAAACGTCATATTGGGTTTATAAAAAGTATATGTTGTTAGTCCTGTATCGTGGGTGCAGCTAGTGTTACTTAAATCATATAAATACTGCAAATGCACACTCTTATTTAGGAAGACTGTCTTCATACAAGTAACGTTTCTTAATACTTGGAAGACTACATCTTTTTATCTTTTTTGTTTTTTGTTCACAACAGGTTGTGTACTTTTCCTTTAGTGTTTCATCTATACCTCTACTGTCAGTATACCTTCAGGCACGTAGCATCGGGGGGGGGGGGGGGCAGGGGGGCTGCCCCCTTTTTTCCAAACATAACTTTTTACTATTGAAAATTTTCATTGAAAGGCCGATTGCCCCCCCCCCTTTTTGTTGGAGTATAGTCAAGTAAGGGTAATGTAGTATGTACTGTATGGTTTGGTACGGAAAGAAATTGGAACACACACACCCCACCCACCCCCCACATCATAGGATTTTCGAGTTTGGACAGTTTTCCTTTTTTTTGCTTGTCATTTTTTTTTCAGGTAAGTTGCATTTATTTTTCTCTGGCTGCCACCCCCCCCCCTTTTCAAAAACGATGCTACGTCCCAAATTCTTTCTCTGGCTGCCCCCCCCCCCCTTTTAAAAACGATGCTATGTCCCTGACCTTATCCACAATCTGATTAAAATCAGATCCTTTGATCCGCTCACATAGATCGCTACCCAAAGATAATCTGTGTAGAGATCTATGTGAGCGGATCAAAGGATCCGATTTCAATCAGATTGTCCTTATCCAAGACCTAAACCAAAGCTTTCTTCATAAAGATTCCTAGAGCTTGTTAGTTTACTAATTCTTATTTTCAACATGGTTCTATACTTTTGTCTTGAGTTGACAAACACTGCCTTAATAAATTATACAGTTCTCCAAAACTTGTGAAAGGATGATTCTCTATAAGGCCATTTTCCGGCCTACGATAAAATCACTTAAAAATGTGATTTTATGTAACTTTAATCATTGTATTTCATGATTTTGATGTTTGTTTTTCAACATCGATCACCTAAGTCGCGTGATTTAAAGATCACAAACGGCCGTCAAGTAAAGAAAAATTGAGGATAGGTCTATTTACATCACGTTTCTATGCATGTTTCTAGATGTAAATGATCAAAAATTGTTTATTTATGTCGGAAACATATCAGACTTAAGTAATAAAAGCAAAGATTGTTTAATTTAAGGCTAAAGATATTTTTTTTTTGGCAAGAATTTTGATGCATTCACATTTTGCATATTTTGAATGTAAATCTTTACAAAATGCACCTCGTATGATGTTGAAAAATGTTTAATTAGCATTTAATTAAAAGTATTATTTCATATATGTTTATATTGTAATTGTGTATTGTTTCTATAGATGTGGTACCTATTTTACGCATAAAATGCCCATGCAAGAAATGAGATTTCTAAGTTTCTATTGAACTATAAAAGTTGTGTATCAAATGTTTAAAGCAATGAATGAATTTTGTTTGTGATTAAATCAAAATTAAGTTGTAATTTATAAAATATAGTCTACATTTGCAAAAAAAAAAAAAATAATAAAATTTAAAAAAATAAAGAATTCATTAATTTACAGTATGAAAATATTAATGCAAGTACATGTTAATAGTCAGTACATAAAACTGAGAACGGTTATATTAAAAATATATATATCGACGTAAAATGAAATAACATCGTAAGAGTTGCTTTGATTCAATTTAATTACGCATGTTAAACAATATATTTAATTTAAAATGGT